TAAATACCAAGAGGATTTAGTGAAATCCTGGAAACATGCTCAAATCTTGGCTAGTATCTTCAGGTAAAATAAAATCCAGATACTTACTTGCTCCTGTTTTAAATTTGCCTTTTTTTCACCAGAAGAATGGTATTCTCAAGAGACTCCATAGATAGTAATTATTCATATGCAACAGTGTGAACTTGAAGGAGGGTTCACACTGATATATTGAACTGAATTCAGTAATTTCATATACTAACACATCCTTTTGCTTGTAGATGTCACCACATACTCTGAACTGTGTCACTTCTTCCAAGTGGGATCGTCCTTACCCCAGAGAAGTGGCAGCATTCCCATTGGTGAGTAAATAATGGGATCCTAGTGGTGTAGTAATACATAAATGTCCTTTCTGCTCTGTGGTTTTCTGGTCAGTTGGAGATTAAACAACCTGGTAAGAATAAAACTTCAGAGTCGTTTTTACTGTTGCTCCATTTTTATGTGTGTGAGCTCTACAGCAGTTCCATTAGTATTGTTTTTCAAGACAAGGAAAAAAGATCTTAAAACAAAGTCTCCACACATGAAATGCAAACTTGGATTTCTAAATCTCAGCACTTAAATATTGGATATTCCAACTGGAAACAGCCCATTCAGTTCTGACATATTGCACCAGAGGCTCCAAAAACAGAGTTCCATCTTCTGATGTTTAAAGCTCTGCTTTGAAGAACTTTGATGAGGGTTTGACAAGATGCACAGTCAGCATGGGGCAAGCCACACCACTGTGAACCTGCTGCAAATGAAGATCAAATTGGAACTGGATACATGGCACTTCTTCAGAGCACTATATAAAATTGTTTGCACAAAGAGGAAGAATTTAACTGGACCTGTGAAGTTTGACACCTTGATTTATATATGATACTGTATTATAACTGTACTGAACAGCAAAAGGTCTTTTTTTTTTTTTTATCCCATGACAATTGTTTCTTTGCAAGCATTTGTTAGAGGACATGGCTACACTTTTTAAAGATCTAAATAATCTTTTGACTGCCAATGCTATTATACGTACTTGTAAACTTTCAGGGACTGCAAACAGATCTGAAGTATGACTTCACTTAAAAAATGCACTTTTCCAGCATTTGTCATTCTTAAAACGTCTAATGTCTATTACAATTACATAGATAGGCTTGGTAAATAAATTAAAATGGTTGTTTTTATTTCTGTACGTAGCCATTTGTGAAGCCTGAAAGCAAGTTTTGGCCTACAATTGCTCGCATTGATGACATATATGGAGATCAACATCTGGTTTGTACCTGCCCACCAATGGAAGCCTACGAATCTCCCTTTTCTGAACAGAAGAGAGCATCTTCGTAAGACTGCTTCCAGTTGCCTGGACTTCTGAGTCCATCAGGATGGCCTTTACCTCCCAGACCTGATAGGAGATTTATATACTATGTATATTCTGGATAATCACCATGTTTGTTAATTGAATCACTGCTCAATTAAAACATAAATACAATCAATATGCTAGGTGTAAGCAGAATTTGATGGTTTCACAGCACTTGAATATGAAGTTGCCTCGATTGAGCATTTTGTCTGTTTTGTGCTAAAGTTTTAACAATTAACACCCAAATTACAAATTGGCATCGAAGATATGGTTAAAAAAGTAGAAAATATGTAGATGCATAGGCAATAATAATTCATATTAACTGTGAGAATAGTTGTTTATATCTTGTAAAAAACAATGAAGTAGATGTTTAATGTACTTCGTATTATCACTAGCATTGCTAGTATCAATATTTCATACTGTTTTTTTTTACCTACCAATGTTAGTACTCTAATAAAATTTGTCAGAATTTTAAGTGTTGTCATCTGGATTTTAAATTTCACCTGGGTTTATCCAACAGAGCAGTACGAAGCGATGAAGTTTAGTTCTGATTTGTCTGAACTGCCACAGCAGTAACCTCTTCTACACAAAGCAAAATACTGACAGAGATTAATATGGAAATAAATCTGTTTTTTTTAATGAGCTAGAATGATCAGTTTTACTGAGCAGTAACAAACAACATTTTTCTATATTACATCAGTTTTTCCTTGTAGTTGTATCTAATCCTCTCCTGCTACTACAGAACCCCTTTTCCAACAGACTGAGTTTTCAGTCCAAGTTAGATGTTGGCTAACAAAGGATTCTCTTTCCACAGTTTCTCACATCTCTTCTTTTGGATACTGGCTTTGGTTTATACAGAGCACTCAACTTGCCTTGTCTTTGTCATGTAGATCTACAGTAGGTATAAAAACTGATTCACAGCTGCTCTGGCCCTGCAAGAATACTGACAGCACTCTGAGATCAGCACCCTACTGCTACACACAGTGCCACATTCAATTACTCAATAGACAGAATGCAGATCTAAACCAGGAGCAGCCTCTTCTAACCTATCCCCAGTCATATATATATAAAAACAATCCTCTCATCAGTTACACAGACAGACAGCATGTGTTACGAGCATATTTGAAAGGAACCTTAGAGCAGGCTTGTACAGATTCATTGGTGTTTGATGCAATTAAAAGCCCCTGCAGAGACAAACTCATTCAGCCACATGAAGCAGTATTTTGGTGAATGAGGAAGCGGGCACTGAGGTAACGTTCAGACTGGGGAAAGGACAGCGCAGTTCTGCACATTACAAATAGCAAATACTCGACCTCTTCTTGCAGGTCTACATGCACACTCATGCCTGGGAGCTTTCTCTAAAGGGACACAAGTGAGGCAAGTGTTCACAGCACTATTTTAAGTACTTACTTTGTGTCCTCTTTAGTGAAAGTTTTGTGATTGCAACTTTTTCATTGCCTACCTTATGATTTTAATAGGACCTTAATTAAAGCCCCCATTAAACTCCACAAAGAGACTGCAGATGACAGGATACAGGGATGGATTTCATTAATGGAAGGTTAGACCAGATCAGTTCTGATTGAAAAGCTGCATCTAGGTCCTGAAACATGTAAATGCATAGTGAAGAAAATTAGAATGCTATAATCTAGAATTTACTTTGGAAAAGGGTGTCTTTCAGTAACTAGTGACATAGCACTAAGGGTGTAAAAAAATGTGAAAAAACACTGCAGACTTGAAAGGTGAGGAAAGGAAAGTCTTTCTGCCTTGCCACAAAGTCTTGTTAAACTACTTTAATGTTTGTTAAAGGCAGTTTCATGTTCATTGATTCCTCAAACTGACAAATTTATCTTGTCAATTGGTAAAAGCTATCAAATGGAAAAAAGAAACATTACAAGGTGTAAAGTATTCCACAGCACTCAATTATAAAGTAAAAAGCCACAAGTCTTATGTGCTTACTGCACAGATGCAATGATTGTTACAAAGGTAAAATTACATCTGTTTTCCCCATAAGATACTAAGCTACTACCATTTTGTAAACCATAAAAGTGCAACAGGATATAGGAATCTTAAACTGTATGCTTAACACTGATATCAATTCACTTACAACAATGGCTGAACCCTCATTCTAGTAAGCACAGAAAAAGCTGAGGATTTCATTCTTTCAAAGCTGTTCAGCAATGCCTGTTTTTTTGATAAATGACAAGAGCGATAGTACCAGTATTATGTATTTTGGATACAACTGAAATCCTAAATAGGAAGCGGGTGGGAGAGTGGGGGGGGGAGAGAGGTTACTTATTTCAGGTGAAGTGAATAAACCATTAAAGCCAACTGTCAGCTACAAAAACCAGCAATGCCATGTGCATCTCAATGACCAGTTCACTACCACACTAGGCTAAGGGCAGTATCTTAAATTACTAAGACATATATACTCTTGTATAAACTTCCAATGCATGGCTACCTTGCAGGCTACAGGCTGTCAGCACAGCCCCATGCCTGTGGCTGGGGATCTGACCAACCACTGTGTGAGGTATCCACAGCTCCCAGCATCACTGAGTGGCTCTGGCACCAGCACTGCCCACATCAGCAGGGCAGAAAGGGCTCCCTTTGATTCTGGTACATGGACTAAGCACTAACAAGCTTCCTCCAGATGCTCAATAGAGATCAGAGCAGCTACATGACAGCTGCTGCTACTGACTATGTGTAAGCCCACAGATAGTGATGTCAGGTTGGGATTTTTTCTTAATTAGCAATATTTTTTTCATTGAGAAATGATTTAAGGAATATAAAGGCTCACATCTGAAAATTAAGCAGCCCACTAATCTGAAAAAATTTTCTATTAAGTGTTACATTTTAAGTAAGTGGATAACATTAAAAACAAAATTAGCAATTTTTCTGAATCATAAAATATTTAATAAGGTATATTTGGGGGGGATATATTGTATATAAAATTTCAGATCACAATATGAAGCGATTTGAACCCTCTCCAAGCTAGCACTGCCTTCAATGCCATGTAGATGTATTGCCACTGATACAAGACCTACTAAAAGCATACACTGTAACTAATACAGAAGTGGCCTTTTTATATGAACTAGTTTTTACACAACTCGAGTGTCTTGAATACCCTCTTTAAGTGCAAAAAACACAGATCACTTTACACTAATGCAGCAACAATGCATTCATATTGTTCTCATTAGTCATTAGTAGTCAACTTGCATAAGATACAAGAAAAGCACAATGAAGCTCACAAAAATAGACTAAAAATCAGCCTGTTCTTGCAAAAAAATACAGCATAATAGAAGAAAAAGACAAAAAAGGATTATGCACACCACAGAATTTGCTGTTCTTTAATCCAGCTGGCTTAAGTGCTGTTTATGGGAGTTTTTGCCATTTTTTGTGGGTTTTTGTTTTGGTTTGGGTTGGTTGGTTTTGTTGGTTTTTTTTTTTTGTAAATCAAACCACATGGACCAGGCACAACTAATATTGAGGAGGCAGTGTGTAGCTAAAACTCCGCTAAGTTTTGTTATCCCCACAATGTATTTTCCTCTGTCCTGAGGTAGTTACAAAAAAAACAAATCATAAATTAAGCATCAGCTAGGCCAGTAAGAGCTGAGGCTTTTCTTCTTCTTCTTCTTCTTTTTGCCTTTAAAAACTACTTTTTAACTGGCCAAAACTACCTTTGATGTTAAAAGACAGCTAAGAATTAGAGTTCTCACTACACCAAAAAGATGGCCATGATGGGAAGAGGGTTAGCTGCTTCAAAATGTGACAATATATTGAGTCCCATCAAGGTGGCTGGTCCACTGTTGAATTTCCCATGTTTATTCCCCTTTACTCTCTTAAAGTCATTGGGTGAAGTACAGAAGAATCTGAGCACATCATCGTCCTTTACTGTAACCAGGGAAGAACTGGTCCAGTAGTGTCTGCAGTATCTTGTTGGGAACCATGGTGTAGCCTTTTCCCAGGTCATAGCGGCAGGCAGGGCAGGTGAAGACTTCAGCTCTGAAAGAGCGCTGTAAACAACTCTAGGACATACAAAGACAGGGAAACAAATCATGAGAATTTTATTTCAGACTGACAGCTTAACCAGCAAAAACTAAGCAATCACAGTAACCAAAAATGCAGCCTGCAGTATTATCAGAAAAAGGAAATAATTACGAAGCCCTCTGGTGCCTACCTCTGCCTCTACGACCAAAAAGTCCTATCAAAGGAACTCTTGGCTGAGACGTGAAGCACTGAGCTGGGAAGGAATTAAAACAAATCACTGCCGAGATTTCCCCTTCATTTCCACTAGTGCCTTCCTGTGAATCACAGCCATGTCTGCAGCTTCTTTCTAGTTTCACAGTCAAATTGATAAAGATCTTCACGAAGAAGGTGAGCACATCAGCTATATTGTCTCAGTAACAATCTCCATCTACATCACCAGATAGGTTCAGTTAAGCCTTGAAGACATATGTGGAATAATATAACCTCTTAACACATCAGCATCAGTGCTGCCCTCCTTACTATGTTATCACAGGCTGCACACAGGCCAAGCATCTGAACTGAGTATCAGAAATTTATCAGGGCAGATCTGTGCCCAAACAGCAACAGCAGCTTGCTATCAAACTACTCCTTACAACTTTAACTGGATGCTATTTTGCATTTGCAAATATTTACGGACATCTTCAAATTCTGTGCCTTCTGAGTTTGCTGCCATTCAGCTTTCTCTTCTCCAAAGTTTTCCAGTATCCGTAACTCTAAATATTAACCCCATCATAATACTTTTAATGTTTTAAGAAGCCATAATCATTCCATGTGTGCAGGCCATCCATAAAAACACAGAGATTTTTATGAAACAATACATATCTTCTTGAACAGTGAACTTGCATTATCAGACATTGTACTAGGATGATAATAGTCTGCGACCTTTTAAGGCTCCTAGGCAGAAACACTGGGTATGGCACGCAGACCTCAAGTATCACAATTCAGCACATGATCAAGATTTTAAGATACATGAGTTATAAACTGACTTATGTGGCCCTCCTACCAAACACGAACAATGTCAAGAATAACAAGATAAGATAATTTACTCCAAATAATTGTCATATATTTACTCTGCATCCTTTGAAATAAGTGTTACACCATAATAAAACCTGTTTTTATTCCTTAACTATGCCAAATTAAGTTACTGTGACTGTATCATCACCTAGCTCCTGGACTAAACCAATTCCTAATGTAGTTCTACTGATCACAAAGGAATGACAGCATGGCAAACTTCACTGATTATGTCTATCAGGAACTACACTAAACATACTTCCAGTCCTTGTTACATAAAATTAAGCTTACATAGCAATCACTGAATGCAAACTTGTTGCATGTTTTTGCTCAGAATGTTAGGCAATAATTATTGTCTTTCTAAAATACATATGGCTTTGGTGACTGGTGTCTTAGAACTAAGAAAACAGCCCAGAGCAAGACTGAGTTTATTCTTACTTTACAGACGTTGTGGAGGCACTCTGTTGTCACTGGCTGGTAAACCAGCTCCTGGCAGCAGACACACATAAAGGATTGTTCCAGTTTCTTCAGAAAATTCTAGTGTAGGGCAAAAGAATGAAAAAAGACAAGCTCTATTACAGTTCTTGTAAATGCCACTTATTACATAAAGATGATGAACTTCCAGAAGTTTTTAAGTCCTTCATATCCATAAGTGCAGCTTTCTAAAAGTAAACAGGAAGCAGGTCTGTAACTGCTTAATTTCCCTGCTCTTCCACAAATCAGGGAACTAATGTTTTAAAGATTATTTACTTGTTTGTATCAGTATGGTTATAAACAAAATGAAACAGAGCAGAGGGCCCCTCATGCCTGATTCTTAGCAAACCTCAGAAAATTCAGTAATAACTGGAGCTAGAAATTTGCATGTGCCTGAAAGATCTCTGCTTCTCTGCCAAGGGTACAACTTCTGCTAAGAAACCCATTGCTGCACCTCCTCCTGTGCTTATGGATTACAGCTGGCTTAATGGTTTCTTCTCTCCTCAGGCCAAATTCTCTGCAGAAAACCTCTGTGTTTTTTAAACCTTCTCAGGGCACTTCTGAGAAATCTCAAGATACATTTGTTATCAGGTGTTTCACACACATAAACATGCTTATCTTCAGTATGTCAGCATTCTCCAAATATCTCAGGAATAGAAGCTTGGGTATATAAAAAACAAAGCAGATCTAAAGACAATCACAATATGATCATTGTAAAAATTTTTAAAATACCAGACTTATCTCAAACCACGTTTGTTTTGTTAAGAGCAGGTGTTTCAAGCAGAAATATTTACATTTCACAGTAGTGACCCAAAGCTACCAGTCATTCCCACTATCTTTAGTGGGAACCAAATAGAATTCTTAGCAAAATTATGGGTAGGAATCGGTAGAAGTAAATCAATCATTTTGAAATTGCTGCTCTCTCCTTTTTATAGACATGTATCCCTATTGCCTGTCATCATGCACAATTTTAAGAGCTGAAATTCCTTCTAGTCATTACATACCACTGGACATGGAAGAACAGGGAGTTATAGATGCTTTATCTGTTACAGAAGCACCAGAAATAGTCACTGGTAATTCTCAAATAAACTAATTATTTATGTCCACTTACCAACCAATGGTTTGTTTTTTAGTGAACTGAGTCTTATCAAGTTATCTTGATCTCCTCTGAGAAATAGCTCAAATAACTAAGAACTTGAGATTGGTAAGACTAATCATCACTGAAAGACATAATATTTCAGGAGATACTCCTTTTGCTGACTTTTTGAATGCTAGTGTCTACAGTCTCTTAATCATGAGCTAGTCTAGCATGAGGCACCCCTGCCCATGGCAGGAGGATTGGAACTAGGTGTTCTTTAAGGCCCTTTCCAACCCAAACCATTGTATGATTCTATGATTCAAGCTATTTCCTCGACATTTAGGGGGAAGAAAGTATTTTCTCTCTTAAGTTTTCCTCTCTACAGAGTGGGATAATCTAGATATGGATGAAAATATTTTCATTTCATATCTAAATTTGAAGACAACAATACTTCTATCTTCTTAAACAAAGCAAGCAAGCTGTATTTTCTGTCATAAAAGTATTTTCTGTGTAGATGAAAGCAGTGACTAGAAGCATCTTTCTTCATGTCTGATTTCTCACATCAGCACAGTACAAAAATATATTTATAATTCCAGTGAAAACACACTCACACTCCCTGCAAAACTGGGGGAAAAAAAAAAAACCCAACAAAAACAAAACACTTCTAACTCAAAAATTATTTTTGAGCAAGAAAAGATCTCTATTACGCAGGTGTAAGATGAGCCATAATTAGTAAATTGCACAAGTGAGGATTATTTTCTTGAAATCAAAGTCTTAAAACTAAAAATAATGCTACATACAGTCTGTATTCAGCAGAAGTTCAGCAAGCAAATTAGGTTTTAAGAAAGACTCAAGATTTTTCCTAGAAGTCTAAAGAAAAGGTAAGTATTAAAAATCACGCATGTAGCAAACATACTGGTCCTTCCTTAAGAAAAGCAAGTACTTCATCCCACAGTTTCTGGTTCATAGTGTCTTCTCTAATCAGCCATTGCTGCTCTTGGGTCAGCTGGAAAGCCTCTCCTTTCCCTCCATCTCCCATCCTCATGGCTTTGGGTGTATTCATAGGTTCCTCTATACCTGCTTAAGATTATGACCATGAGACACAGTAACAACAGAACATTAGTCTGAACTAATAGAAGGGGAAGACAAAACTGTTTCTAGAAGACTAAAACATGGATTACACTCTTGAAATTCGGCAATCAAATCCATGCTTGAACTCATACTGTACGGCATTGTTTGGGCTGCAGCACACAAATGCACAGAAGACTGTTTTCTCTTTCTTAAGAGAAAGAATTGTAAGAGTCGTAAATAAGATCCCTACTCTAATAATTAATAACAGAGCATGTGCTTATCAATTTACATTAGTATTCCAAATACTTTCACACTTTCACGAAGTTTTCATGCTACCAGCTTAATGAACGTAACATGACAGGCTTTGCTGATGACTGCTAAAAAAGTGGGGGTGGGTGGGAAATACCATCATCAATTGTCCTTTTCTGGTTTCCATTGCTCTGGCTGGTCGGCTCCTGTTTCACAGTTTGCTTTTTAACCTTATCCTTCTTCTCCTTGCTAGCCATGGCTTCCAAATAACCTTCTGGATACTAAAATAAAAAAGCACAGGTTTAAAACAAAACCCACTGGCACACAGGAATTCCCAAATACCAACAACACTAGTATCTAAAAGACCTTAAAACCCTGTGACTACATATTGAAGTAACTACAAAATAATTTTTAAAACCATACATGATGGCAAAAATATTTAAATTAGTATCTATTACTAAGAAATTGTAGTCAAGTCAAAGAATCTAATCCAGACTTGACTGTATTAAAAAGAACCCAATACCTATATCTGTGCCCTTAAAATTATGCAAATAAGTTAGGTAAAGCTGAAGATGATGGCATGCTGCAAGATATACCACTGCCTTGCTGAGAAAAAACACTATGTTAGTTCTTTCCATCTTTTGTGTATTCTGCAATTCCCAAGTCCTTATGGATCAGTTGTTTCCTGTGCCTGGAATACAGTCACACAAACCGCTCAGTCACATGGAGAGAAAAGTACATAAAATGCAGTTTTTCAGTTTCTCAGACAGTATCAGTTACAAATTCTTCTAAAAATTCTTTCCAGCCTAAGGATCACAAAACTGGATTAAAACTCTCAATTTTCCAATCCATATATGCAAAGCAATTCACTGCTAAGGCAGAAAGCTTCATCCACTGTTCCTTCAGCTGTGCCACTAATACAGGATCTTTCAGTCAGATATCTGTAGTGGTTTTTGACATTGAATTCTGCCATAGAGAAGTACAAGAGAAAAAAAAATGGGGGTGGGGGCTTTAATTTAACGGATTCCTATTTCTGGAATTCATTTAATGGAACTCAGAATAAAAACAACTCTGCAAGTCCTGATTCAAACCTGTACACTTAGACCCAGTTTCTTTGAGCGCTCCATTCCTTCCGAAGTCCAAGGTGCAGGCTCAATGTCATCTCTCCTCAAAAGATAACGCCAAACTAAAAATCCACATTTTCCAATTTCTGGCCAGTATTTTACCACCTAAAGAACAAAATGAAATTACTGACATTATTCTATCACAAGCCAAATGCATGCATATAGTCATGTTTTCATTGTTCCAGAAGAAATCAGAAGACTAAGTTATACGTTACTAATACACAACAGCTCTTCTGTCAGTGCAAAATTTTTGTATTTTTGATACAGTGCTCTTAAAAGGCAAACACCTTTATTTCAGATGTTAAGAAGTCATTAAATGCAGAAAGAGCACGAAGTTGAAGGGTGTGAAGAAACACTTTAATTCCAGTGATGAATACGACTCAGTAGGCACAAATAAAGTAGCTTACATATTCAGCTTTATATATCTTATTATGGATTATGTTCTATCATCACTGCTTTGCATAATTTCATTTCAGTTCTTTGCAGAATAAGCTAAAGCTAAAAAGCTATCATGGAGAAATAAGAATTATTTCTTTTAAGTAATAATGAATAATTTGCAATGCAACACAAAACTTTTTAAAACAGATGACAAAAATTGTTATGCTGCACTCAGTAGAAATCCAAATACCTTGTAAATGCCATCATATCTGTTGCCTTCCTCTGGGGCATATTTGCTGATTCGCCGTCCTTTTGAACTGCGCACTACTCTGACTGGCTTACCAGCTCTCCAATTCTTAGACTCTGCTCCATTTTTGTCATCCAGTGGGGCATCACAGTTAAGGGCCAATGCCCTAGAAAGAGATTGAAAATCTTCATACACTAGACTGCTTCACACAACAGATTCTTGAGAATTAATGTAATTAAGTCATACCTATTTCCCGTGTCTAATATGCTTTATCGCATAGCACAGAACTTTTCAGCACATTCTCTAATAGCTGCAGAAGTGGTAGAAGCAGTATTATCCATTCTACCACGTATGGTAAGAAAAAAAATGTGAACACAGAATATTTTGTTGTCAAGATTCCAGATGAAAACTCAGTTGAAAGAGCCAAATTAAACAAGCCAATCCTTTCAGATTCAGAATTCTTCATTTTTAAAAATAATCCCTTCATAAATAGCATTGAGGGAATTGAAAGAAAATTATAACAAAAGGCAAACTTTCCCTATCACTATCCCCATTAACTGCAGATTTTATAGCTCTTTACATGTGTACCAAAGGTAATGAATATGATGAAAAACACTATGCAGAAAAAAGTACAGAGTAACCATTCAAAAAAAAAAAATCTAAGTAACTGAAATCTCTCACATAATATATACTTTGCCTCAGAGTAGGAGTTATATAATAGTAGTTAACTCAAGGACAATAAACCCTTTCATCCATTAACTACATAAAGACCCTCTTCTAGAAATCTGGAGCAAGACACTATGAATACCTACTAGACCAAGTTGCCGTAATGAAAAGTACTTCTACTTCCACAGCCTGATTTGATCAGATTCAAATTAAATCACGGATCTCAGAATGGAAGAAATAACACAGTTTAAAACCAGCCATGGTACGAGTATAAAACCCACATTATACAGGACACTAAGAGACAGGCATACAATATCAACTCTAAAAATGTTTCTTATATAAAAACAACACTTAAAAAAGGAGAAGTAAAATATCTGGAGAAGTAAATTAACCAATACTGATTCAACTACATGGATTATCATGATCTTTAGTATCAAAGTGCTTGAAAACTTGAATCAAAATCAGTAACAGAGAGCAAAACCTTATTTAACTCCATGCAGACTAATACCTGCAAAAATACAAGGCAAGTTTTGAATGCAGATTTCTCATTTGCCAACAGCAGAGGAATGCTGAGACTAAGGAGTCCAGCTGTTAATTCTGTTTCCCAATGCAAGTTTGCTCTATTCACTAAATGTGCTTGTAAACCTTTTGCTTAGATCTACTTCCATCTTCCTTCCCTCCTTGTTCTTGTTCACATCATGTCCTCCCCTTTCCCTCCCACACTCTCAACAGCCAAGTCAGGCTTTCCCTTCTCCTCAAAGCACCACCAAAAAGCAAAGAATCCTTCTACACTCTGCTTGACAACAGCAGATTGTATCTAAAAGCAGACCTGGCAAATGAAAGGTCTCAGTCAATGTCGATACCCTGCTGGTGTTAAGTGGTCAGTTGCATATGAGAAATTATGCTCTTAGAAATAGGAAAGGATGGAGAATTCTTTGTTCAGGCAGACTTTTAGAGGACGTGAAAACACTTTAAACAGATGTCTATTTTTTTTTTATATACATTTTCATTCTCAAGCACCTGTTTTTGATACAGCGACATGTTAATTCCTTGCTTTTCATAGAAAACTATGATGGATGAAAGGGCTAGCAAAATAGTGAAGATTTCTTCTAACATGGGAAAACGAACATGCTTTCTTCCTACTTAAATTTCCTAATTGACTTAAACATTGAAGAAGAAACTTAAAAAGCAACAACCAGAATAGAAAACTTTCACCCAAGAGTTTTGACTAACTTCTCATCATATTAAAACCATAGTCCTCTGAAGGAATTTGTAAGGCAATTTCAACCAGAAACATGACTACCAGTTCTACCATCAATAAAGCAATGTATGTCATTGAGGTGCATGTTTTTTAAATCAACAAAACATAATGCTTGATAAAATGACTCTGAGCAGCAAGAGGCACCACTGTTTACAAAAGCAGCATGTACAGGAGTGAATGAATATAGTGAAATGTTAGTTTTTAATCAAAGCACTACAACCCAGATCATTTGTTCTGGAATACTTTTAAATTATATCTTCAAAACTTACCTATTCATGTGTGTTAATGTCTGATCAAATGAATGCTCTCCAATCCTTTTATTGCCAGAAAGATCTCTACCTCCACTCCCAGTGTAAGTGAATTCATCTCCTCGATCCTGTGCAAGAAGATTATCCTTCATTTTAACACTGGGAGCAACTCAATCAAAAAAGAAATGTGACTTAATTTGTTCTATTTACTCAGACAGAGAAAAACTATAATCCAAGGCATGGAAATACGTGTTTCCAATTTCAGTATCATTGTCCTCCTAGAGTAGTTGTGCCAGCACAAAGCTACTGGTCTGGATGTAACATTCACCAGGAAATTCTTAGTAAAAAATTGTCTGCCTTAAAAAAACTTGGGGCTTTTGAATCTTCTAAAAAGCTGGGGTTTTTGGGGAAAAAAAAAAATATTCTGAGGAAGGGAACACATTCTACTGAGCAGTTACTTGCTCCAGAGCTTTCATTTAGTTTACAAGTATAGCATGTTTGTAAAATACATAATAAATACCTTGGAGGGATTACTTAGCAGCTTGTGCAAGGGACTAAGCGCTAATAAGTACAAACAGCTACGTCGTACATGCAAGGCAGGTGTTTTAATGCAATAATAATTGCAGCTCTTCTGAAAATAATCCCAGCTCTTCTGAACAAGTAAGAGCTTAAACTCATTTAGATTTGCATTTTGTAAGATGATATAATTCTGTAGTATATATTTCTTACGTAGAAGCTTCTTTACATTGAAGGCAGGCTGATAAAATCTTTTACCATGATCTGTAAAACCAGTCAAAAACTACATAAACATAAATGAAGTCAGTATTGCTATTTTCTTCAGGAAATATGTCATAGAAATTCATATTACTCTGGCAAATTCAAGTATTTCTAGAAATATATATATACTTTAAAAATATATTTAATATGCTATCTCTTTGGAGAAACAAATTTTGTACAAATCACGAAGCAACAGTAGAAGATAAATACTTAATAGGAAAATAATGCTTACATGAATTTTCATAGCAAAAATCTGTACATATACGCAGTAGTAAAATTCAGTCAATTTCTTACCACTATTAAAAGTCTGACACTATACAGCATCCAGTGCAAGATATTTCATGACTGACAACAGCAGAAAAAAGAGAAAGTTGGAAAGAGAAATGCTGTTCTAACAAGGCCATAGAATAATTATAGAAAAGATGTTTATTTTATTTTTTTAAAACCTACAGAAATTCAGCTGCAGTATTATTTATCCTGAAAAATTTATCTAGACATAATAACAATCATGCGCTATGAAATGTTAAATATTAAATGAAATATTCAAAACCTGCAAAAGACATGCACAAACTCTGGCATATCCTCTCTTAAAACAGTCTACTTACTCTGCTCAGTGAATTTCTAAAAAATAACAGAAATAAAATGATATTGTATGAGGACGATATATGAAACAACTTCAAAAGAATGAAAGACCGACAAGACAGGAACTATTTACTAAGAAAGAATATAAAATAAATTGCATAAAATAAGGTATTACAGAATTGAACTATGTTTAATTTTTCAATTATTGTCAAACAAAAAGCGCAGATCCCACAAAGATGTTTATGATAATAATATGAACAGGGATGGATTTGCTTGATGAATCAGGCCCATTCAAACAAACTGCATTTTAACAGCGCACAGGAAGCTTGTGCCAAGTTCAGAAAACCAGAAAGATGTCTCTTGGAAAGTCATGAATCCAGAATGATTTGTGTCTCATAACAAAGAAGAAACTGAACACATGTTCATGGCATGGCAGAGGGAGGAAAACTGTTACAGCAGTTTTTTGATGTGCAAGCAGAAATAAACTAAAACTGGAAGGTGATTTTTCCCTCTTTATACAAAATAATGTTGAGGCAAATACTGAAATAACATATATATGAGAATGTAAAATAACAAAGGAAAGACAGAAACAGTACATATGTGAGCAAGATGAAGAAAATTATTTACAAGACAAGACAGGCTCAAGGCCAGGTTGGACAGAGCCTTGGGCGACACAGTTTAGCGTGTGGTGTCCCTGCCCATGGCAGGGGGGTTAGAACTAGATGATCTTCAGTTCCTTTCCAACCCTAACTATTCTATGATTCTATGGTGACAGTCAGGTAGAACGATCTTCGTGAGAAGAAAGTACTGAATAGACTTTTTTTTGCATACAAACACAAAACAAGAACAAACTGCTATAGATTTAGGCCAAAAAAACTCAAGCAAGAAGGCATAAATACAACAGTTTCACAATTATCTACTGGAACACACTTCTTTGGGAAATGGGTTAAATGTAAAAGGCTTAAAAGCATCACACTTCCAACGTCTTCAGAGTAAGACTGAATTATTCTCTGGGTGGTAGTCTTTAACCACAGGCAACCAGAAGACATTGTGCTTGAAGAGATAGCATAGATATAAAGCCTATGCAACAATGTTCACCTCTTGAACAGATTCTACACTTGAGTCTCTTTAATTATGCAAGTGTTCTATGCATAAATAGGCAAAACTATATGGATTTGGAAGAAACTGGAAATCCAGGGGAAGGAAAATGGAGGAGAAATGGAACAACTGCGGAGCATAATTGTTACAGGTCAAGTAACAGGATGATGCCATCTCTTAAAACTTCCCTGCAGAAGGAGGGCTCATTACTTCTATTACTTCCCAGAAGAACTACACTCACTTATTTCACATCAGATATATTAAAAAAAAAAAAAAAAAAAAAAGGATTTCCAAGCACAAAGATACATAGTTCTTAGAATCTGAGAAAAATCAGAGATCTTGTCATACAGGGCACTGACCTGGACTGGATGAAGAGAAATGGGGAGGACATTTGAACCTCTGATATGAGAGCAATTCCTAAACAGTAAGAGGAAGAAAGCTCCGGAGAGTACGTAAGCGCTAGTAGAGAGAGAAAATCCAGAATGACAAGAGTAAATGATGCACAGAGAATCCTTAAAAGTGGAGTAAATGTGGATATGAATATAGTCAATGATAAACAGAACTGAAATGGGGATACTTGTAGTGTGGAGACCTAATGGAAGACCTACAAAATCTACTTCCATTGGAGTTATGGTATTCTACTTTGAAAGTAGAGCATGCCAGGAATACTCACCAGCTTGTTATTTGGGATCTTCTGATGAGTAATGACTTATTAAAACAATCTTGCAATAGCTTTGAGTTCTGTGTCTTATCTGTAGACAATGCAGGACCTTCCTACCACCCAAAACAATGTTCAACTGATAGCCTGTGTGTGACAGGCAAAGGGGGAAAGCTATTTTAGCTATTTTTTTCTCTAGGGGATCAAAATGCAGAACTTAACATATGGATACTGCTGTAAATTCTGCATTCAGCCTGCATTCATTTGGCAAAATAAATTACTGATGTCTGTTATAAGAAAGAAAATAACTGTCAAAAAAACTATTAAATATATTCTCTTCTGTTTCTTCTTCTTTGCCCCATTTTCTTACCTTGAAACATGTAATTCTGCCATTTCTCTTCTGCTTTCCACAGCTTAATTCAATTTTCCTGCACCAAAACTTTCTTTCAACAGCTAGTAAGACCCTAGTCATTCTGTCTTCTCTCAATGCCTTCTGTATGTCTCTCTTTCTTATATTGTCTCCACAAAATTACCTCTTAACTGTCCTGTTTGTAAAGTTTGATCACATTGCAGAACAAATGAACTTTACTCACTGGAGAATGAAGAAAGTAGGATTATGAATTCCACATAATTATGACCACATGATTTCTATGGGTTGCTTTTATGCAGCAGCTGACAGGGGCATCAGCTACTTCAAGTTACTGGAATATCAACATATGTCAGTCATGAAAAAATATTTTTTTCTTTACATTAACACCTCTGGTATTATACTCAAAATTTGCTCTCAATATATACACAAAAAATTGCATTTATCATTTATTAAAATATACTATTAAAAACACAAACATATTTTCTAGATGAGCTTCAACCTTCAGTCTGAAAAAAATAATGTCTTACTGGCTTTTTTGACACAAGAAAATCCAAAATTTCATTAGTTCACCAACTCCTCAATTCACCAGTTACACCTTTGTAAAATGTGATGAATAAAGGTTAAGATTTTGATTAATATGACAAAGCAAAAGAAGAAAAATGCACTAAGCCTTTTCACATGAAATTTTTAAATCCAAAATGAATACTAAGTATCAGACAATTACACTTGAAATTATTTTCTTTCCCTTGTAGTAAGGATACCTAAAACTGAATCATGCCATCATTCATCTCCATTAAAACCTCAAGTGTCTATATGCATTTAAGTGCTGTCAACACTGGTCTATCTGCCCAACTGTCTGATTTATTTTTGATAATTTCATAGTTTAGCACTGCAGTAAAAGGTGTCAATTAAAAAGGCCTAAATTGCATATTTAATTTATAAATCAATAAAATACGTCTTGCACTAAGTGCAAAGGTTGAATATGTCATGATCTGTGTTTCTGAGCCTTCCCTACAACTGTCCTTGACAGCAAAAACATGACAGTATTGTGGCACATTCCACCATGATGAAAACATTTAACCAGTTTAATCTAAGACAATCTGAATCTCTGACCAGTAAGAAAGACAGCTTCAAAGCAGGAAATAGCTGAAGGCGCTAACTGGTGATGGAATTAGGTCAACATTTTTAAATATAAATTCTAAATGAAAGTACTAGACTACTACTACTACATGTGCAACCACTTCTTGAGGTTTTTCTTATTCCTTTCCAGGTTCAGTGCCAAAATGGTGGATTACCGGGCCTTTAAATTAAACAATTCAGGCTACCCAATCTGGATTCATTATCTTTTGCTGCTTTCAAAATCAGTTCTGACTTCCCAAGATACAACAGATAGAAAGCCTTTTCAGGTCAAAACACCCACCTGTATTGGGAGATTACTTAGGAAATAAAACAGGGTTTTGAGACAACATTTTTTAATTACAATTATCTTTGACTACCTCTTGGAGATTGCTGATTAATTGCTTCTCTGATGAAAAAAAAAAAAAAAAAAAAAGCTGCAATCTGTATAAGTAATTTAATTAGCCAAGTATAATCCTAGTTAAAGCAAGGCAAAGAAAACCTTTCCTGTCTAAAAGACACGCACTTACATCCATTTATCTCTATACATATGATTAGAATTTGTTACTTTCATCCTTCTTTTATTTCCTGCACCTAAACAAGTGCTTAATATCACAGGAATCAATTTTATAGGTGTTCATGTGAAAAGTCTATGAAGTCCAGCAAGAAAACTCATATATTATACAACAAAGATTAATTATGCTGATTGTTCAGAGTTTCATGAAGGGAACAGATTGATGATATATAGCACCAATATGACCACTCTCTTGAAAATGTATTAAATTCAGAAAGGAGGTATTTCAGTATGTTAGGCATTCACAGTCAGAAGCCAAAGCCTATGTTCTTGACCTATGGCACTATTCCAGGCAGAATGTTTCCTGGAAAGAGGAAACAGAAGATGAGCTAAACAGTGCTTTGCTAAGCATTAGCAGCATTAATTTCTACTTTCTAATCTGCTTTATCATTGTGTCAGATAGGTACTCAGTGCTTTAGAAACAATCAGATATGCAAAGTGCTGCAAATGAACTTTAGAAAAGTACAGATAGGAGCGGTATAGACACAGATTCCACACCTCATTATGAAAGAAGCTGCCAAATAGGCAATGAGACTACTTCAACAGATGTAGTACTAGCACTAAAAAAATAACAAAAAAGCCTCTCTGTAACAAAATAAGGTGTTTCAGAGTGTGAAAGTAATTCTGAATATAATGCTGACACAGAGGAGATAATGAAATTCAGAAAATAATGCAAGAAAGGTAATTTTTTTGTATGAATTAGCATTTTGTACGGACTGATAGCTAACAATATGGAAAAGATGCGGAAAAGATGCAGAAAAGATGCAAAGGAGACTTGCAGGATAAAAGCTGTCCTGCAGATCTGAAACATAAGTATTAAAGCTACTGCCCTACAGATTATGACAACTATGTCCTTAGCATTGGAAGTAACAAGGATAGACAAATAACACATCCAAGAGAAATGGAAGATATTTGGTAGATATTGTATAGTGAGATACTCAAGTGTTTTCACATTACGCTGGAGCTCCAAGCAGGTCCCAAAACAGTAGGGCGCTTAGACGTTGGAAATGTGATGGCTTTTGCCAACAGCAAGTTCCATGGCATCAAGATTGGATTTTCAGCTACATAGTTGATCCAGGTGACTCACAATAGACACTCTCAGTGTAATGGCTGTAATTAACTTGTTATGTTGGATTCTCAGTACTATAAAAGAGAGTTGAAGAAATTGGAAAAACTGTTCCCTTGGTAACACAGTCAGCATGGCATGATAATTCAGAAAACTTATACAGCATACTACATCTCTTTCGTACCTGGGCTCACACTGGATTCAGATGACCCAGGTAAGCCTAGAAAACTGGTTAATAAAGCAGCAGGTCATACACATGGCTAGGTAAACCGCTAGTCACAACAGTCTTTGGATACAAAACACTTTGACTCAGACATGCAGCTCCTATTACCACTTGATTTGGATTTAAAGCCATTTAAGTATGCTATTTGCTACAGCACTGGCACTGCACCTTTGCCAGTGGTGGAACTTACCAAGTGTTTCCACTGTGCAATGTACACTACGCAGAGGTTCTGAAACGTTCTAACCTGACGACAACATTCGCTTGGGCAAATCCAGTGAGCTAAACAGCGTTTATTTGCAATTAGACTATTTCAAACAAGTGGAATAACACTGACACCTTGAAACTGATTACCCACATACAAGATTAAGGTAAAGACAGAAAACATTTAAAATGGACAGCTAACCATTTCATGAGGTGGTTTGTGAATGCTGTGTTCCAGGCACTGAATAGATTTGCTACAGAGTATCAATGAATCTCAGCAATGAGTTTATCTGCCTAGGGTCCCTCTTGAGTCACTAGAGATGCTATTCTCTTTTACACTCTCAGAACCTTTTAAAAGAGGATGCGAATGATCACAGCAGGCACTGTCCTCCATGAGATTCTGAATCTCAGGTCAGAGATCTCCTGTATGATCCTATATGCAAAAGCACTTAAAGAAGAAACAACCTTTGTTCATATTAAACTAAGCACACAACCCAATAAATTTACCATCTTTACAGCACTACCTCAATCCACCAGAAACATGGATCTTCAAACTTTTGAACAGCAGTTTAAACCCTGATACATAAACCCAATGACACAAAATAGGAGGGCAATTGTTCAACACAAAAGTGAAATTTCTTCAGCTACTTGATTAGATGAACAGACAAATCAAAATACTTTTATCATGAATACTTCTATCACTCATCACTTTGATCAGTGATCACAATTACTGTTAATGTCCAATATCTAGTTTTTAAATGTTAGTCTATTCTGAAATAATTCTTTGATTTTCAGTTCCTGAAAGACTTCTCAATTTCTTCAGCTAACGTTCCTATTATGGTTACTATCAAGAACAAGACCAGGAGATCAGCAGTATAAGCATAATTGAGACTCTAACGCTAATTATTATAATACTGTACCTTAAACAGGTAAGCCATATGTCACTAAAATTCAAGGTTAAAGATTTACAAGAGATAGATTAATGTGTAAACACTTATATAAACGTAATTAAGAATCAATTTAAGCTTCATGTGCAGAACAATTTCACCCATTGCTCATTTTGTAAACTATGACTGTACCCCTTCAATCCTGAGGGTGGATCTTGTACTGACAGAACTCGTCATTACTGAGCACTCAAATACATCCTAGCTTGAGCAAACTTGTGGACAAGTCTGGGTCTGCAGAATTGTAAGTTTCCAAAGATAGAGAATAAAAATGGCATGATCTGAAAGCTAGACAGTAAATTCTATTTCCTGCAATGTATTTTTGTAATTATTTTACCCCAAAAGTGAACTGGTAATTTAAAGCCACAGGAAGAGCATTAACATGGCACATGTCAGCAGTGTGCATAAATAGTGCATTAAGTTTAGAAACAGAGTAATAGTCTTCCAAAACCTATTTCTCAATTTTGTAAAAACTTATACACAACTACCTATGTCATGCCACTGAACTTCAAGTAAGAGTCACTTCTCTTTTCTTGTTCTCATACAATAAAGTGACTAGAAGTAAGCAGAGGATTTTATCTGAACTTTTATCTAAAAGTTTCATTTGTGGAGTGAGATGCTGTATTAGGATATTTGTAAGTACAGAATTTGTTTTTTCTGTGGATACTCTTACAAGAGTTTAATTTCAACGTCTTCAAAAAAAAACAGAGAAAACAGAAGTAAACTGGGAAATAAAATCTGGTATGTGAAAAAAGAATTGAAGAAAAACTAATTCCAAAAATCCCCCTGGGGAAAAAAATCCCCCTTGTATCTTAGAGAACTGCAAAAAAGCTAACATTCGTACAAATTTTTAGGGTATCTTCGGCAATGTTTCATCACGACTATTCTTCAAAATTATGTATGTCATCTGGACCATGACAGTACTTCGGTATCCACAAAACCACATGATCACTTAGGTGAACTAGAAAAGACATGCAAAGGATCCATTTAAGTTTATTAAATACTTTGAAGTGAATAACTACAGCAGCAGAAATAAGGGGACATCTGTATCACCATCAAAATAAAAAAAAGGAGTCTGCAGCATCCCAGCATAGCATGTACAATTTCTGAGCATCAGTGTTCATGGGATTCACTGGCTAAGGGTCCTAGAGCTTGGGTTGGTGCTGACTCTAAGGGTGTAGTAATGTATCCCAACACCAAGTACCTCCTCATGTCACGTGTTCAAAAAAAAAGGCACACTTTCAGAGGCAATATTCTACAGCAGCTGGTAGGTGCTGTTAGCAATGAATACATTACATTCTGATGGTATTTCAGATGCTTATTTCTTTCTCCAGTGTCTTTTTCCTTCTGACTCACAGCTCTGCATGTTTTAAAAAAAACAAATTGTTTATCTGTTTTATATTTTAAATTGCTTTATTCTTCACCTGACGCATGATTCAAAATTCCACATGATGAAGCAGAATTGCAGGAAGGGATGCACCCTGTGTAAACATTACTTAATTGCAGAAAACAGTAATCTATTCATAAATAAGTATAGGTCAACAATATGAGATGTAAGTTGGACGCAATTACTGTTTTGTTTAGCAGCGTAATTGCTTAATTGCTCTCGTTGCTCTACTTCAATTTTAACATCAAAGTGTAATTCTTTCCAGCATCTTTGGGGATCATAATACGAGATATTGACACTTTCCTAAGAAGTTCTGAAAGCGCTTACCAGTAAGAGTCAAGGACCTTCAGATATTCACAAAACCAAGTAACATGCACCTTTTATTCTTGCTCCATTAAAATACATGTGTCACATATTTAGAAACACAATCAACCCAAAGGAAGAAGCATCTATGCGTCTTGAAATCAATAAAAATCAAGACCAAATCAAAACATAAAACGTATTATTTGCATGTAATTACAGTATCAGACTTTAAGTAATACTACATTTCGACTCTGAAAATATAATGAAATTTAACTATCTTAAACAATGTAAAATCCACCTGTAACTAACATATTTGGCTTGAATATAACAGGGCCTTGAGCAACATGCTCTAGTGGGAGGTATCCCTGCCCATGGCAGGGGGGCTGGAACTAGATAATCTTAAGGTCCTTTCCAACCCAAACCATTCTATGTTCTACGGTTCCTTAAGAAATATTTGCTTACGTATTTCTCCCCAGAATACTAGAAACTTCTCAGTCTGTTATCAGCAGTAGTTACTTTTTCCATGGTTGTATTTGCATAGGCATTAGTTTTAGGATCAACAACAAATACAACCCTCTTCACAAACATTGATTCATTAGAAAAGCAAGACCGTTGCTTCTATAAATGACTTACCACTTCATCTTCAAATCCTCCAGCTAACACAAGTGAATAAGCTCCATCATTACTGCGTCCATGGATTCCACCCACATGTGGCCTGTGAACACCTGCTTCGCTCACCTGGTGACAGAAAAAAAGACAGTTTCTAATACTTTTTTCACACAACCAACCATCTACAATCACTTTTAAGAATCAACTCTGTTTAAAATACTGTACAGGATTCCTGTGTAAATAGTTAATGTAAGACTGCCATTAAAGGTGAGCATTCCACTAGTTTTTAAGGAAGAAAAGCCAAAAGTAAGGACACCTGAAAAATTGTAAGGACAATGTAAGACAGAGTTGATACTGGAACACGTAAAAGTACACTTTCTTCTTTGGGAAAAATCTCCATGATTCTTTCCATAAGCAGTATTTAAGACTGTACTCAGTGCTATGCACCACCTGGACAGTCATTTAGAACAATCCAAACCAGATGGAAATCTGCCAGTTTGGTAACATTTTACAATCTTTAACTAAGGAAGACCCCAGTTACCCATGTAAAGATCATTTTGTCAGGTAGTATTAAGGTAACACACTGAAAAGGTGACCAATGCAGGGAAATATTATCACACTGCCTAAGGAAACAGAAGAAGCTATTGCAACAATGTAAAGATTGCATGTTAGTTCTCCAACCAGGGTAACTCTCTGATAACAAATGTGCATCTAAGCTTCAACCAGACCACCTGAGAGCTGTAGCTATACCATGAACTGGCAACATCATTAAAGTTTGCTGGAACACTTCTCCCACAAAATTTATGTAGTATTGTATCAAACTACCAAATTCTATTTAAAAAAAACTCAAACCCTTTATAATAAAAAAGAGACTACCTATTAAACTATGTATTTTCTCAGTACATGATGCCAAAAATACTACTGATAGAAGGAAGGTTCCCAGCAGAAAACCGATCAGGATACTTCTATCTTTGTATTTTCCTTCAGACTTTCAACTTGCCTGTTTTTCTCATTCTGCCTCTCCCAGAGGCAGAATCAACTATGCCAAATTTTCCAGACCATTGTGTGAGTATGCTGAATAAAAAGGCCCCGCTATTGTGCTCCTCTTTGCTGCTGTATCAAGCATCCTTTCATTCTTCCTTCCCTCCCATCTTTCATTTCCAGGTTTTTATCAACTACGTTGAGGTTTCTGGTAGGTGATGCACCCCAAAGATGAATTTTGCTAAGTAATTCGTGCCAAATATGCTCATTAGATGCTCTCTCCAGAAACAGTCAATTTCCTTCTAGGAAAACGAGAGTTTAAGTCATAAAAAACTACATAAAACTACAGTCTCAAAATTCTTACGTATTTGCTGTGGCAAACTCATTTCTCATATGAATACCAGTCATATGAGAAATGAAAGTATAATTTAATTTTCTGTGTAAAAACATTTCAATCTTTAAAAAAAAAAAAATCAAGTATTTCACATATTTCACTTGTAGCCAAAATTATTATGTAGAAATACTAATTGCCTTTTTATGTGTAGCCCACATATGTATCTAAGAATTAGTATTCTCTGCATAATTTTCTGACAAAAGCAGAACTCTAATTCTGTTCCTTTTTCCTTCCAGCACTAGAAAGACCTGAAAACTATTATTTTTTGTGTTTCAATGAAATTCACAACAAAATCTGAACTAACAATTTCACTTCTTGTTAAAGCAGTAAAAGTAGAACTTGATTTTGAGATTTTGAGCCTGAGTAACTGATTTTAGAAACTTCTCTCAATCTGGAAGCCAACAAAAAGATTAACTATTCACTTCAATTCACTTAAAAGTTCTTCAAATTCAACTAACTGAAGAGGTCAACAAAATAGGCCTGAGTTTTCCTCTAAAGCATGACATTTTATATAAAATGGATGATCTCAAGAACCGCATAATTTTACATTACAAATTTAATATGCTCCATCTAAGGCTTATGTTGATGGTAGTGTTAACGGACATCAAGGTAAGAAAGGATCAAAAGAACGAGTTTAGGTTTCAACTGCTTCACTGTGATTTCTACTAAGATTTCTCTTGTTCAGATGAAAATGTCTGCTGCTAACCATTATCAGCCTTACACATTGCATGGCCTTTCAAATCCAGAATTCTCCACACAGTACCGGAAGACGCCACCATCAGAGGAAAACTGACTCCTAAGTGTTCTCTTCTACCAACTGAATAATAAAACATGTTTTCTTCTCAGGAGGAAGCAGCTGATGAGAAGTTCAGAAAACAAATCAGAAGAGGTTTTTGATTCTTGGCTTGCCCCTCCTCAAGCAAGTTAAAAAAAGAAAGCTCCTGTTCTTCCAAATATGATGGAAAATAGTCAATTACAATCTTCTACACATGCAAAAGACAAAGACCTAACTGATTTTGAAAATACAGAAGTACGTATTTCCCTGACTAAAAACAGTAATTAAAAATATCAAAGATAAAACAAAAATCAGTGCTATCAGATAAAGCTGGGGAAAAGAACATAACTTCGCATTTGCTGGATGCTTCAAAACCACAAAAAATCAGTACTGGGACAAAAGGAAGCTGTTCCATCCTCCCTGCTTTGTTTTCTCCTCCCCCTTGAGTACTGGTTCTGTGCTTATATAATCAAAATGAAAAATGGACTGGGAAAATTATCTTCCCTCCTACCCCAGATGGTATTGTTTTTCTTCCAGTTTTTTTCTCAATGTAGTTTACCACAGAGCCTAGGAAATATCTGCAACGCAAAATGAGGCAGTGCAAGAAAGAGCAAGGCTGAATGGACAGCTAATTTCAGTAGCACTACAGGCTTACACTGGTTTAAGCAGTTCATCAGCCTAAAAGAAGATTCAGACATCCATTATGTATGATGAAAAAAAAAAACCAACGAAACAACTCAGGGAGTCAATTTACAGTCGTATTATTTAATGTTTTCAAAATCTACAGTCTACATCTCCTAAGTGGGATAATTAGTCCATGTGAAGTTCACTTCAGAAAACACTCGACTATTCACTAAATATCGCACTCAGAACTTTAACATGTGAAATTTGTTTGTCCTACTGATAACATACTTCTTAGTAAGTTGTATTGTAAAATCAGTATATTTCAAGCTTCGCTACCATCAGCATCATTTCCACTGAATCATAACGTATTTGTTCTACTGAGCCCCGGCGAGAATGGCAATTGTCAATCTAAATTTATTGTACTGTGCAACGCATTCGTTATTATTCTTAATTACTTCAGCTACAGCTAATACTGAAACAACATACCTGAACTCTGAACTTCCAGGTTGTCCCAACAGGAACACCAGGTATTGGTCCATAATGATTTGATGGAACAATAGTGCATTCCTTGGTGCGACCAACACAGGCCATGCCCTAAGAATACATCAGACATTCAAAAATGAATTAGTACTATGATATTGAAGACTATTTGCAAATTCAATGCAGATATAAAGAAATCTATCATTATAACAAATACATACTTTAAAATATGTTAATAATTGTTAGCAGAAATGTTAATTAATTAATACATGTTTATAGATTTGGGGGACGGATCGTGGGTTGTTTTTTTGTTTTTCCCTCTATTCACCTTCATAATTATTCCACTGCTTTAATTGCCAGTATATAGTGGGCAGGTTTAAACATTGTCCTATTGTCTGTGCAACCCAGTACTGAATTTTGTGTAGTGCATATGTAAGTAGAATTATAGATGTAGCACATACATGAACAATCACAGTAATAGCTATTTCTAAAATACACTCTACCTTGCCCCAGTCTCTCTGGCTTTCAGTACTGGCAGATGGCATCTTTGCTTTCTTTTTACTCTGTTTGAGTTTTTCTCCAGCCTTTACAACTTCATTAGAATCATTTTTGCAGGAAGGACAATACCTAAAAAAAGGTTTTAGTAAATTCTCAATTACTTCATAATAATGGCAATAGAGTTCTTGCAGCCAAAGTAGTGTCAATTTCTACATCTTGACTAAGTATTTCAAGCTAACAAGCACATATCAGTCTTAAACAGCTGACACCTATGGCTTAAAAAATAAAAACCAACACAAACAAATACTGTCAACTTCTAAAAAAGGGTATTTCAGTATCTGTGAAGGTAGACTGCTGGAGGCGAAATATTTAACTATTCATTCTCACATGGTATGTGAGAGGTCCCATGTCTTCTGTATTCTCTTCATTCTGTCCTCTTTCATTTAGTCATGTAGAGGAGAAGATAGCTGAGATGAGACTATGTTGTTAACCAGCATTCGTGATTTGTTTCTATGTCCTGCCCTCTCTGTGCTTACTTATTGCTGCTAATACAATAAAATTCACTGCAGACAGCTAAATGTTAAACCGAGCCAAGGTACTGTGCAATGTGCGCAAACACACACATGCATACACACACCCACTCCACAACACTGAAGCCACTTGGAATATAGCACCGAGACTCACTCGTGGTAACACAAAGCCATCCTGGTAGGGAAATAGGAGATACTAGTATGCAGCGACTACAGCAGAGAGAGAAAGAGAGTACACTGGTCCTTTTGCTGCTTATAGCTCCCATGCAAAGGCAATTGTCCACGTTTCTGGCCTCCAGGGGCTGGGTTTGGCCCATACACCACTAATGGAGGAAGCCTGATCTACACTAACACTAATAACCTAATTTAGGTAACTACCAGTAGTACTACAACTACTACTGTTCTGGATTTATTAATTAACTTTTGCATGTGGATATGAATAGAAGAATTAATGACTAATGTCCATATGGACAGATTTCACTATGTCAATAAAGATGTTGGATAATTAAGACAACGAAGCGATGTAGATAAAAATAAATTAAAAATAACACAAGATGCTGAAATTGTGTAGCACTAAGACTTACTAAGAATGGTATTACAGTTGTCTGTTGGTTTGTTTTTGTTTTTTTTTAAAGAGTATGCAATTACCAATTAAAAGAAGGAACATGACATAATTCAAATTCACATGGCATTCCCTCCTGCTTCTTCATAGGGTAACCACATAACCTTAGTACTTTTTATACTGAGTTTTTTTTATACTGAGTTTTGTACGCAATATTAAATATTGGTCTGCATATAGAGTAGCTTAATCTCAGCAACAGAAACTTATTAGCCTTTCCCAAACTGCAGGCTTAGCCATGTAGAGAGTTTGCCAAATTTTGAACTATAAAAATACTAAGTGAATTTTTCCACTTATGAACCAAACAAAATCTGTCAAGAAGTTAAGGATCAGACAGCCATGACACTTTCCCAGTATGCAAGGAGAAGAGAGAACACAGACCTTTTCGGTAGGAGACCGCAGTTTGCCGACTGCACTCCTCCTACATACAACCAAGCATTAAGAGTGCACAAGGCTGGCATAACTATGCCAAAATTAACTGACACAAGACAGTGCTGTAACAGCACCTCTCCCACCCAGTGACTTCATCCACAGATGCAGTTATCTACTTGCAGGAATAAACCTTAAGACTTGTATCATTACACAGAAAAGAAAGAAAAAAAACAAAGAAAGAAAAAAGTTAAAAAGCTTGACAGCCATTTTGAAAGACATTTTAATATGAATTAAGCTTCTACTACTTCATAGAATACCAGCTGGAAGGGACCTCAAGGATCAGGTGGTCCAATCTTTCTTGGCAAAAGCACAGCGTAGACAAGATGGCCCAGCACTCTGTCAAGATGAATCTTTAAAGTGTCCAATGTTAGGGAATCCTTCACTTCCCTGGGGAGATTAATCCAATGGCTGAGTATTTTCATTGCGAAAAATTTTCCTCTTGTGTCCAACTGGAATCTCTATGGAATAACCCATTACTCCTCATCTTTTCCATGGGACTTCTTGTAAAAGGGAGCTTCCATCTTCTTTGTAGACACCCTTTAGATACTGGAACATGGTGATAAGGTATCCCCAAGCCTTCCTTTCTGGAGGCTGAACAAACCCAGTTCTCTCAGCCCTTCCTCACATGCCAGGCTTCTCAGTCCACTGTTCATCTTTGTGGCCCTTCTATGGGCCTTCTCCAGCCTGTTCACAACTTTTTTTTTTTTTTTTTTTGTATAGTGGGGACCAAAACTGAAGACACCATTCCATGTCTGGTCTGACAAGTGCTGAGCAGAGTGGGATAATGACATCCTTATCTCTGTGGTGATGCCCTTGCTTATGCAACCCAGCATATTGTTGGCTTGCTCTGATGCAACAGCATACTATTCAGTCATATTGAGCCGCTTGTCCACCAGGACTCCCAGATCCCTTTCCACAGAGCTGGGTAGATCTCAGCCTGTGCTGCACTCTTGGATTGTGTCCACCCAGGTACAAGAGCTTACTCTTGTCCTTGTTGAACTTGACATGGTTCTTGTTAGCCCATTCTTCCAGTCTATCCAGGTCATCCTGCAGGGCGGTTCTCCTTTCCAAAGTGTCCACTTTCCCACTAAGCTTGGTATCATTGGCAGACTTCATCAGGGCTCACTTGATCCATGTTCCACATCCACTTATGAAGTTACTTGACAGCACTGGGGCCAATCCTGATCCCTCTCAACCCCACTAGTGATAGGTCACCAGTTGGAACAAGAGCTATTTACCATCATCTTCTGCATGCAGCCGGTCAGCCAGTTCCCACTCACCGCAGGGACCACTTGTTGAGACCCCGACACATCAGTTTCTCTAGAAGGCTGTAGGAAACTCTATCAAAAGCCTTGGAGAAACCCACGTAGACAATGCCCGCTGCTCACCCCACATCAACCAAGCAGGGGACTTTACCGTAGAAAGCGATCATGTTTGTCAAGCACAATTTTGCCCCTGCTGAATCCATGCTGGTTTTTCCTGATCATGGGCTTCATTTGACTTGTGGTACCCCAAGAAGGATTCGCTCCATACCTTCCCAGGGACTTAAGTAAGGCTGATAGGCCTGTAATTGCCTGGATCCTCCTTTAAGCTCTTCTTGTAGATGGCAGTGGCATTTGCCTTCTTCCAGTCTCCTGGGACTGGAAGATAGTCCCCTGACCCCCACGACTTCCCAAAGATTACGAAAAGTGGCCTCACAAGAGGGTATCACCAGGGCCCATTGATTTGCAGGGGTCAAGCTGCTGTAATAATTCACAGACCAACTCTTCCTTCACTGATGGTGGGTCTGTGTTTGCATTAACCTGGATTTTTGTTCCCAAGGCCTGGGGCTCAGCAGTGCTGGTAGACAGGTGAAGAAAGTGTTGAGAAACTCTGCCTTTCCAGGTTTACTGGTGACTTGTGGAAATTCGTTCTTTTTTGGCCAGAAATGTAAGGAGAAGGGTCCAAAAGTGCACTTAACATGATTTGAGGGACTCTAAAGATCAGTCAATTCTTGTGTGGTTGTCTATAGAGCACTGAATCTTCTGTATGGCGTAAAACAGTCCTGAGGACCTGTGCAGTGCATTTATAGTGATATTACTGGAAGAGGGTAGGGAGACTTGAGCAGTAACGGCTACACTTGGAAAAATTTCTATTCACCAGACTTCCTCTGGAACCCTCTGAAATGGAAGTAGGGTAACTCATGTTTCATAAGAAGCTTCTGAATAAGAATGGATGCCACTGAACACTAGAACACTAATACCTAATCTAAAAAATCATTTAAAGTACCCAGTAGGCCAAGATAATCTTGGCACACCAGCTAAACCAAAGAGACAATGATGCCTGGTAAAATTTCAGTATCGGTATCCCGACATGCCCATCAAACCTTCTGTGTATTTGAGGATATAGAAGAAACTAGAGAGAATAAATTGTTTTCAGTGTAGAACAAAGGATGTGGGAGATTTGTGGGAATGAATTTGTTTAGTGTAGAACAAAGGATTTGGGAAGCACTGACTTAAAAGCATATATATCTTCTTCATCAGAAACTTTCCTGTGACTACTACTGGAAAATAGATTTACTATTGCTGGAATACTAGATTAGAACTGGAATAAGGGACAACTTAAAATGGATGGACTAACCATCTGTATACTTTCAGGCATATGGTCTCACTGAATATTCTGAATGAAGGAAGTCAAAAAAGAACTTCTCAGCTGCTGCATCCAAAGGTCAGGTGTAATCTGGAAAGAACACTGCTTATGGACTGCAGTCAGTAATAAACCACTTGTGTGTTGAGAATTGTTCCCAACACATGACATCAACTCACGTATGTTGACAAGTAGTAGGAAGCAAGATGTCATGCATGGAAGACCAGCCTGTCTTGACAGTAGAAAACTTGGGAATAGCTCAGACTAACACGCTGTGCAATAAACACTGCTGAATAAACAGTCATTTTGCACATGCAAGAAGTGGAAGGCACACACAATATTCAAATAAATGCCATTTTCAGTTCTAATGACCAATACCCATTTCTAGGAAGTACTGAAAATATTTTTTAGATAGTGTTTCAAGCCAGCAGTTCCTCCAAAAACAGTAAGCACACCTTTACCCAGTGCAGAAATTTCATAGGAAAGAGATCAACTTCCAACAACAGTATCCCCGTGGCCAAACGTACACACTGAAAAACACCTACCAATGCTAATCGTCTCAATTGCTAAATCACACATTAGCATAAACACAGGAATTCAGACAAAAACCACAATGCCCCGGAAACCATGCAGACCATTAGACACTAACCAATAAACAAACCTACTATGGCATCCACTATGGTATAAGAGATCGAGTTATTTATTTCCAGAGAATGTTAATACTTCCAAAGCATAGATTTTTACATAAAATTTAAGCACAACATCCAAAGAGATTCCGCAAAATGTATCCATAGATACCTTAGACACTTAATGATGTCGGTGTAATGGAAAACTTTATTAGAATAAAGTTCTATTTACTATTCATGTATAAAGGACTAGCATTTCATGAGAGTAACAGGGAAGTGATAAAAATGACCAGTGTAAATTGTAGGTAGCTAATAAAAGCAAAAAAATTGTACAGAGCCCCAGATAACATAATGGGCTGCTGATGGGTCCAGGCAGACTTACTTTGAAATACGATTACCCTGATTTAACAATGCCAGTTAACTTGGTTTTCCTGCTGGCAGAACCAGGGACAGTAGAAATGGACAGCAGCAAGGTGGTGGTCCTCCCACAGCAGGAGAAATGAACAGGGCCGAGGCAACGAGAAGACACAGAAGGGCACGGGGGCAGCAGCAGGGACAGAGGATGAAGTGAAAGAGAAGAGTGAGCATAAGAACTGTTCAAGCAGTAAAGCTTGAACAAAATTAAAAGCCTGGGGAACAATCACTGTTGATACAATTGGATCATGATACCGTCACAGAAGATCATACTGATCACAATGAATAAAATAAACATACCAGTTTTGAAACTCCATAATGGTCATTACAGCTTACTACTAAGCCTTTGTGAATGGTTTAAAAGAATTACCTTGACAGAAAACATAAGGCTTATGTTAAGCAGAGGGATTAAAACCACAGCAAAATTTTTAGAAAAGTCCTCAGTCTTGTCTCTCTAGAGGTGCAAATAACAAAAAGGTACCATGTACAGAATGGCAACATAGATAAGCAAATCATCCTTATATATTTACCAGTCCTCATCTTCTGGTATCTTGCTTAAGGGAGGGTTCAGGCAGTATATATGATAAGCCATATTACATTCATCACACAGGAGTTGCATGTGAGCATCCTGTTTTCCACCACACAAATAACATGAACAAAAACGGCACTCCTTATCTGGATCAGCCCTACAGTGCTTGCATTCAGGGCCACTTTTTCCTGTCAAAAACAAAGAAAAAGTCAAATGCCATGTATCTTAGAAAAATGCATTACTGTATCTACAGGAAAATATTTCTGCACATGAACAGGGCCCTCTTGAAAATGCTTTCTTCTTACAATGAGGTATTTGACTATCTAGGCTAATGGGATTTCTTCTGCTGTATAAACAAGGAGTAAAGAAAATGTCTAATCAGCAGCTTCTCTGATTTTCTCCCCTCCAGTTCCCAACATACCATCTGCGTATTCTCTCTACAGATGGAACCTTGCAAATCTCTAGTTGGAACCTTCTTAAATACAGACATGAAGAAATTCCAGTTGCGTAACTGGTAACAGCCAAATGATGATGAAGCTACAGTTTGGAACAGCTCTCTTCCCCTTAAATTAAACTTACAGTTGGATAGAAGAATTAGCAGTCTGAGACCACGGGCAACCCAAAATCACCAGTTGTTTCACAGCAGCAGTTCAGTTTACACACAGAGAAACACTAACTTTATGTTTCATCTCAGTAGGAAACTTGGACCCATGAACCCCCACTATGAAACAAAATCATTGGCATTGGTTCCTCAACCAGGGAGAAATGCTTTTATACAAGAGAAAAAACATTTGGTATCCTAAACTATATATGAAAGAGGAGAGGGAAGGAACACAGAATATCCATAGTAAAATTACCACTAACAAGAAAAATGTTTGAAATAAGTCAAATGTCCAGAGAAATGACAGAAGACTTAGAAAATAATTTTATCACAGCCCAAAGAATGCCAACATTAAAATAAAAAAATGATTTGTATATTCTGTGCAAAAGTCATCTAGAAATGCCACAGAAGTGAATCTGAGCTTAAACTAGTATAATAAAATAACTAAGAGTATTTCCAAATTTCCCTGAAAATAGTATTTTATCCAAAAGAAGTATCTGCTTTGAATCAGAAGACAAGGAAAACTAGAAAGACTATTTGAGACTTCAGAGTTGGAAGTAGGAAGGTGGAGATTCTAGAGCCAAGATAATATTACAGTTTAGAATGTGCCAGAAAATGTTCTTCTCATTACCATTCTCGAAAGAAAAATTAACTACAGAAGTTCAGAAATGGAAACAGCTGGAATACCAACAATACCAGTCAATACCAAATTTTCTTCTAATCCGTAGGCAAACTGAGAAACATCTGAACTGTTTGGTAATTTCTACTCAAAAGGCCAATTGGCCTAGACAGATAGTGTGGTAAGGACAAACTTACTCCTGTCATAACCTTTGCCAAGAATACTCAAAAGTCATTAATTTTACAAAAAAGTAACTCCTTCATTCTCTGGGACAAAATCTTATTGACTATAGTCCAAGATATCACAAGACAGTTCATTAATAAGGAACTTGAAAGGCAGCCCCACTACAAAAATGACCATAAACAACCTCCCCAAACCCAAAACCTGCTATAGCCCTTCAGAGGCAGCATGAACATCAGGTTCTTCCATGGGTGCTAAGCAGACACAACATTAGACAAAGGGAGAAGGGCGCAAATCGTATTTAAGAAAACACTGCCTTTCCCATGAAACATTTCATCCTTATGAAAACACAGATTTTTCTGAGTTTTTGATTTTTTTTTCCATACTAAAGGACTGCTGTCTGATAGATTTTTAGGCAAGAAGAGAATTTCTCAATCCCCTAACATGGAGATTTACCCCAGGTTTCTCTGACTAGCATAAAAGAACAATATTCAAGGACAAGCTTCCACCTTCTCTTAGCTTTATTTTTATTTTTCTTCACCATGAGTCATTAAGTTGCTTCACCCAGAAGCTGTATAGCTTAGCAGCTCTTTGTAAGTTAGTTTTAACTTGCTTAGATAACATAAGCAATCAAAGTAAGTATTTCTTTTAGGAGTTGATTTTTGTAAAGAAAGATGAAGTGGGTCACTGATGTATCCAGAGTTCTAGATACTTTTTTTCTCCTAGGTGTACTTGAGAAGGAAACGTAAGGCTGAGTGTTTGCAGAAATCCC